GCAAATTACTCAGAGTTGTGCTAGTAGAAACCCCTATTGGAACATAACTCCTCTTTTCCTAATTTGTTATATGAAAATCAGGATAAAACAAACATATTAAAATGGTACTTATAAATCTCTCTCAGCACAATATTATTACTACACATTACTGTTACTGAAGATTCATATGAATCATATATTTTATACTTTGTGAAAAAATATGTGCATTTAATTCAGATCTGGGGTGGGGTAGTAAGAAAATCCTAAAGAATAGAAGTCATTGAATACATCTATTCTGTATCTCATGGCATTCTATGGCAATGGCTTAACTCACTTTTCTATTCAGAAAGGGCAGGAATATAGATAGCCAATCTCTTTCTGACATTAAAAAAAAAAGCTGATGAGGATTTTGTGTTGCCTCCATGGAATATGCATCAATATTGTATTGACTTACATTTTCTTTCATTTGAATATATACTTTCAGCACCACTGACCTCTAAGGGATAGAGGAATATAAACCATTTTTATGGGGTATTGGTAAGAACAATTTTGTGGATATGCCTTTCATAAATCTTTGGGTAACTGCACTTGATTATTCTAAATTTTCAGTGTGATTTCAGTTAAAAATAAAACAAAAACATCTTTAAAAGAGCACTAGACAAATATTTGTTGAATAAATAAATGGAAAGATGAATGACTTTATTCATTATGTATTCTATGTTCCTTCTGCTCACCATCTCCCTTTGGATTGTAATTTGTTTCCTCTATTGATCTGTCTTTTTTCTTTTTTTTAAAGAGAGAGAGAGAGAGAGAGAGAGAGAGAGAGAGAATTTTTTTTTAATATTTATTTTTTAGTTTTCGGCAGGCATAACATCTTTGTTTGTATGTGGTGCTGAGGATCGAATCCGGGCCGCACGCATGCCAGGCGAGCGCGCTACCGCTTGAGCCACATCCCCAGCCCTCTCTATTGATCTGTCTTTAAGGGAATGACCTCTGTGGTGGTGATGCAGCTATACTAGCCTTCCATTTATGTTCCTCGTAAGAATGAAAGAGTTGCTATTGTAGTTTTATTTAAAGATACTACTAGACCATGAATGCTTGACTTTTGAGCCTAGCAGAGTGCCTGAAACTTGGTAAACACCTGTTTGGGGCTTAAGTAGCTCCCAGTAATGGTTCACAATTCAAGAAAGATGCAAGATTCTATATGCACACCATTTCCTGCCTTGTTTGGCTTCTTTTCTCTGAATAAAAAAAAAACATTTAAAAATGCATCAGCATTGAATCTTAAGATTAAAGTCAGATACAGTGGTACAGTTACATAATCCCTGCTACTCAGGAGGATGAAACAGAAAGATGATAAGTGTGAGGCCCACCTGACCAACTTGGCAAGACTTTGTCTCAAAATGATAAAATAATGCAGATGTAGCTCAGTGTTACAGGCCCCTGTGTTCAATCCCTAGTACTGGGGGAAATAATCTTGATCTATCTCAGGTATTTTTTCATAGCCATAGGAAGCTAACACAATACCTAATATGCATCCAGCGAATGTTCCCTGTTTCAATCAAGGATGTTGTTCTATTTAGTCAATACACTGAAAACACTCTCATTTTACGAAATGGGATAGATACTAATCCTAAACAAAAGGAAGTAAAATTTAAAATACAGTGGGTGACTTATCAAACGAGATATAGCAGGTGAGCAGTTTGGTTATATGTCTTCCTTCTTTCTGCGTTTTAAATGTATGTATTTTCCATTGCACACTTTGGAGAGACATTTCAAGTGTGAGTGTGGGGTACTGACTCAGAATAAATTACATGGCATAAGACTGTCCCCGGTATTATAATACAGGTGAAAACAGGTTAAAATGAACCACAGGAACAAGCTTTATAAGTAAAATGGAGAATAAAAGGCAAAGATGGCAAGAAACTGAACCATGTAAATTTTGAAAGGTGAGAAGGGTAAGATGTCCATTGTTGCCAGATAGCCCCTGCCAGACCCTAATGGAGAAAAAAGGATGGTAGAAAGTGCAGGTGACCTATTTATCTTTTGTAGTACAAAGCAACTGGCTTTACCTCTTTTTTCCTTTCCACACCAAGAACTCCCTCACACTTGGTTCTACACTGCTAGTTCTAGCAGCAGAAAAGCTCATTAATGTCAGAAGTCTGAATCAACACATATTTTCCTTCTGCAAAGGAGGCTTAGTCTTGGGTAATTAAAATGTAATAGAATGCTTTACACAGACCTAAGGAAGTTCAGATACTTATGTGTCCATTGAATGAATTAATTATGTGGAATTGGTGAGGAGTCACTTGAAGCCTGTTTTAGAAGGTGGGGAATGAGGGTCCCAACCACTCTTCCCTCTTGTCAAGATTATATAACCTGAAAAGATGCTTTAGAAAGTGAATGAAGCATAGCAGCAGGAAGCCTCAGATAAAATATGACTTTCTAAAGCAGAAAAGTTGAGAAGAACAGTTTCATAACCTTTTTCTTGATATGGCTAGGAAATGAAAAAGAAATAAACACACACAATCACTTGAAATTAGATACTATACTTTCAAATACCTTTTGCTTACTTTTGGCCTGGAACCCACTACAAGTTGTCCTCCTAGTCCTAGCTAAGGGTCAGAAACAACTTCAACACTCACACCAAATTCTAGACCTAGATAGCAAGTTCAGAAGAGAGGTGAGGACACCCTTCTCCTGGCACCCAGATTATGTTGAGCATCAACTTCTTCAAGAAAGATCATTCTAAGAGTGTGACTTTACCCAGTGAATCACAGGAGGATAATCTTTTCAAAATAATCAAGTAAGCACAATACTTAACAATAGAAATATTCATTCAATACAAGGCAACGAGTATTTTTATTTTACAGAGGATAATATTCACCAATGGGAATAGCATCATCCTTAAGAGTAAAATTTAACTAAAATAATCTGACCAGATAACTATACAGTTAGGCTGTATTCTATCAAGAAACATAAAGAAATAAGATTTTTAAATGCTTTGATATATTTAAAAAAATTTTTTTGTAGTTGTAAATGAACAGAATGCCTTTGTTTATTTTTATGTGGTGCTAAGGATTGAACCCAGTGTCTCACACATGCTTGGCTAGTGCTCTACCACTGAGCTACAGCCCCAACCCTTGATATCTTATTTTTAAGCCCTTTTGTGCTATCTTTCACACTGTACTATAATTTACCTGTTTACTTATCTATATATCCCACTAGGCTACAGGTTCTTGAAGAAAGAACTTAAGTCTCTTCCATTATCTTTTGTATCACCAGCTAGTACAGAATTGCCTAGCACATAGGTACATATCAAAACACTGTAGAATTAGTACTTTCAGGGGTAATTAAATAGATGGAAGGTGCATATGCAAGTTCATATTCTGCATATTGTCAACAGAACCATTAGCGAAGAAATTGAGATTCAGGTACACAGAAGGCATTATGAATGGAAATTGATCTTGGATGCTTTGAATTAGGGCTGCAGTGTATAATTGGTCAAGTTGTTCACTACACAACATTAACCAACCAAAAGCACAAAGTGAAGCAGAAAATCTAGCCCATGCTTCACTTGCCAACCCATGAACCACAACATCACTCTGTATTTGCTTATAGGAAGCAATGCCTTTTTTCAAATTGTCATAAAAGTATTATTATACATGCTGGAGGTGGTCCTGATTTTGTGTGTGTGTGTGTTTGTGTGTGTTTCTGATTTTGTAACTCATTTTCTGGGATCTCCTTTATATAGTTTATTTATAAAATAAAATAAAATTTTATTCATCACCCTGTGTTGAGACTACAGAGAAAAACAATGAAATCTCTGATAAGAAAATTGCCCTACCAACCTGATTTCATTGCAAAGAGAGTAAATGAAACAGTGAGGATTTCTATTCTTGAATTGAAAACACTGAGGCTGGAAATTGTTTTTCTCTGTAGTCTAACACAGGGTGATGAATAAAATTTTATTTTATAAATAAACTATATAAAGGAGATCCCAGAAAATGAGTTACAAAATCAGAAACACACACACACACACCTAAAAAAAAAAAAACCTGAAAGAAATCTTTAAAGGTCATAGACTTCATCACTACAAGGAATTTTTATAGCTCCCCTGGTTCAATAATCTCTTAATTTTACAGATAAGGAAAGCACAAAGATCAGGGAGATTTGCCTGGAGTTAGTTAACAAAGCTGTCTAAAACCTCTATTCTAAATTTCAATTGAATAATCTTTCTACTACATCTGGATGGACTTGCCATCATTATCAATAAACATTGACTGTGCACCTATATGTGGGAAAAGCTGAGACTTACACACTTGGTTTCCATCAAAGGCCTTACAATGTGGTTGAGAAAACAGGAAGTATTGAAAGGTAAGCAATAATATGTGACATACGAAGGGAGGTTGACTCCAGTTTCTGAATGGGAGTGGTGACAATTCTGGAAATGCACTAGGTGACCATGAAGGCCCAGGTGAGGCTGCACGTGGATTTGAAGTCATGAAAGTGAGCACGCAACTTCCTGGGGCCTTTTGGAAGCACAGCTGAAGCCTCCGGTTCATGACCCAAATTGTAAGGATGAGTCGGGGAAAGCCTCACCACAGTTGGGATGGGAACTCTTAGGGCGGGGACAAGGCAGCAGTGTAGCAAGGCTGGAGAGACTGGGACAGGGAGCTGCTAAAGCCCAAGGTTGGCGGATGACCCGAACCGACCCTGAGCTCCGGGCCCAAGGGATACGGAGGCGTGGCGCCCACGGAAACCTGGCTTCCGGGGCGGTACGCGAACGTGGGGCGGGGCCGGGGCGAGTAACGCCCACGTCTGGGTGCGTCACAATGGGGCGGGCCGCAAAGCGCGGCTGCGGCAGTCGCTGGCCTCGAGGGGGCGGAGCTGCCGCTGCTGCCGCCGCCGCCGCAGCAGCACTGTTCGGGATTTGAAAGATTAAAAACTCCGGGTGGAGAGGCCAGCGGCGTTGAATGTGTGGCGGAAGCGCCTGGGGCCACGGCTCGGCGCGCGGCCGGGCAGCCGGCAGCGTCTCCACACCATGAATTACCCGGGCCGTGGGTCCCCGCGGAGCACTGAGCATAACGGCCGGGGTAGCGGAGGCTGGGAGCTGGGCTCGGATGCGGGGTCGGCATTCGGCGGCAGCGTTTGCTGCTTCGAGCACCTGCCGGGCGGGGATCCGGGCGAAGGCAGCGTGCCCCTAACCCTGCTGCGCGGGGAGCCCGGGCTGCACTTGGCGCCGGACGCCGAGGACCTCAACCACCTGGCGCTGGAGTCCTGCCTCAGTGACGAGAACTATGATTTCAGCTCCGCCGAGTCGGGGTCCTCGCTGCGCTACTACAGCGAGGGCGAGAGCGGCGGCGGCGGCGGCAGCGGCAGCACCCCGTCGCTGCCGCCGCCGCCGCAGCAGCCACCGCTGGTCGCGACGAACTCGGGGGGCAGTGGGGCTGCGGGAGGGGGTTCCGGGGAGAGGAAGCGAACCCGGCCCAGCGGCCCGACAGCCCGGCACCGCTACGAGGTGGTGACGGAGCTGGGCCCTGAGGAGGTTCGCTGGTTCTACAAGGAAGACAAGAAAACCTGGAAGCCCTTCATCGGCTACGATTCTCTCCGCATCGAGCTGGCTTTCCGGACCCTGCTACAAGCCACTAGCGCTCGGCCCCAGGCCGAGGACCCGGATAACCAGCATGTGTGCGGCCCGGCTTCCCCGCTGGGCCGGGCCTCTAGCTCCGGAGAGGAAGACGACGAGGACCGCGCCTGCGGCTTCTGCTCGCGGGCGGCTGGGCTTGAGCCCCAGATGGAGGAGCTGGTGAACATCGAGCCGGTTTGCGTGCGCGGCGGCCTCTACGAGGTGGATGTGACCCAAGGAGAGTGCTACCCAGTGTACTGGAACCGTAAGTAGCAGGCCAAGGTTGGGGCGGGACGAGCTGCCCTGCAGGGCCCGACACGCACTGGAGCTGGTTATGTGGTTATGCGCGGGGGGTCTGACGTTTGGTCGAGTTAGGATGGAAATTGTTCAGGGAGAGCCAGCCTGTGAAGGTAATGGAGCAGATGGCAAAGCCCAGGCTGTTTAGGGTCAGGAGGAGAGGATTCCGCCCGAGGTAGCGTGTCCTGGGTGAGCCAAGTGCTGCTGCCATCCCTTGGAGGTAATCCAGGAACCGGTCCCCAATCTGAAAGGTTTCATTTCATGATCCTACCAGAGCTTTGTCCACCCGGGCATCTGATTCGGTCTCATCTACCCTGAATCGCCTATTATTTAAATAGCAGCATTTCCTCTGGCTGTAGGAAGGTTTGAGAGGATCTGTATGAGAATCAACAGTTCAGTTATGGATTTAGCGGGAAAAAAAGATTAATCCCTGATGGGAAAGGAAAGGTGATATGTTGTTCCCACTGGGTGCATTCAGGAGAGGTGGAAAGCACTGCGGTAAACAGGTCTGACAATGGGTCCTCGCACTCTCAGGAATACTTTATTTTTTCTGCAGGTTCTCATTTATATATTTTAATTTTGCCGCTCAATCTTGAAAAATGACAAGCCCTATGCCTCGGTTTCCTCATCTATAAAGTGGGGATATTGTAAACGAGAAAATATACCTAAAGGGCTTGGAACAGTACTCAAAACACATGTGTTATATGAGTATAAACAATATTCCCTAGACAACAGCGCAACTAGGCTTAGAATTAAATTAGGAAGAAGGCGATCAGAAATATCTGTCACTGAGTGCAGATGTTATATGTGCAATATATGGTAAGTATTCAGTAGTGACAGAAACTTCTGGCAATCAGTAATTTGAATATACAATATTAACTTTTATGGGCCCAATGCAATGCCCTGAAATGTTTTCATTTATTGTCATTATCTTTACAGTTTCTGTACATCTTATAACATTTTACATTGTATTAATTGTATGTATTGATCACTTAGCTTCCTTTCAGTGTGTTTAGTGACTTATGGACACAGTCTATCACCTTTATCTTTGTACTCTCATAAGGCCTAGTGCAATAGGTATTCAATAACTATGTATTAAATTACAACCAGTGATTCTGATAATATTAAAACATTGATATGTTAAGCACAAGTTACTAAGATAGCAATTACAACCTGTGCCAAATCATCAAACTAAAATATGCACTATGTCCTATTATGCTTTAGATGACACTAAAGGCATTTGTTACCATGTTTTTAAGGTCAGATCCTTGGGAAATTCTGTTACATCACCCTTTTGATTATAAGCCCACTACGGATGGGGTATGCTTGTATTCATTCGTGCAGTTCTTTGGTATTTACTGAATAATTGTATGTGCTGACACAGTACTCCTGTGAAGGTATTAGGAAAATTAGGAAAAAGAAAAATTCTTACCTTTCAGGGGCTTCCCACTTAGTGTGTCTTTAAGTGACCTAAACATCCTTGTAGTGTTTTTTTTTTTTGTTTCCTGGAGATAGAACACAAAGATTCAGTGGAGCCAAACAGTAGAAGAAAAATGCAGATCATCTTTTGAGTGGGGACTAGAAACTGAGAAATGAATCTTACCCTTAGGTTAAACTGAAGTGTTCATCTAGAATACTGTATGTTCTTTTGGTTAATGGTAAGATTTGTAATGCTAGCTTGGTGCTTCAGTTTACAAAGTGATTTTTGACATTTATTCTTTCTCTGTATTGGCAAATCAGTGCTAACTTTCAGCATAGGAAGAAATGAACTCAGTGAAATTAATGAACTTGTCCAAGGTCACTCAGTAGACAGTGATAAAGCAGTTCATTAATCCAGTGGGGAATACAGTGAGGTATCCAAAAAGCTTCTGACCCATCCAAGGGTGAGGATATCAGGAAAGCTTCCCAAAGGATGTAGGTTTCAATTGTTAAGTGCTAAAGGATGAATTTAATCAGGTGGAGGAAGCAGGGTGACATAAGGAAAAGCATTTCAGCTAGATGGAATAGCATATGCAAGGACATAGAGGAATGAAACAGCATGGCGTTTTGAGGAAATGAGGGTGGCACCTGCAGGGGCCAAAGACACACTGGATGGATTTGGGAACTGAGGCTTCTCCAACCTTCTTTCCTGAGATGGAAATATTTAAGGGCTAGTGTTTGTTCTGGGACAGAATGCAGACTGTGAAGCATAGTTGGGAGAGTACCGTACAGTCTAAATGTGCAGTGCGAATAAGGCATTTGGATTTTATTCTGTGAGTCACAGAGATCCAACCAGTTGAAAGTTCTTTGAATCTCAGGTGTGATAAGTTCCTATGCAGTGGTTGGATTGGAGAATGGGAAACATTTGTCATTAGAATATTAGTGTCATAAATTCATCAAGAAATGGTGAGGGGCCTATAAAAGTTAACCTGAAGGTAAGGTGAACTGAGGCTTCTCCAGCCTTCTTTCCTAAAGCAGATAGCTATTTAAGGCCAATTATAGCTTATAAATTAAGAAAATAATTTATATTATTATCATAAGAGCAACACCTATTTTTTCCTCCATGTTTGTATTTTCTAAATAGCACTCTACAAGATAACAACCCTGTGTGTCCCAAGAACATCATACAAGCTAAATGAAAATATTATAGTATTTTTATGGTGCTCTATTAAGTATTCCATTTCTCATAAAATCCACTGTAATTTTGTTCTAACTGGTTCTTTAGATGTCTGTATTATATTAGTTGTCATACCTTGCATTCAGTTCCAGAGTGGTCTCTTCATCATTTCCTAAAATGGAGGAACTCTTAGGATACTTGCATCTTTTGATCTTTACCCCATTTCGGTAAAGAATTCGGTTTTTCATTTTAGCCTCTTTTGGAAACTTTCTGAATAGTGGTAATGAAAGTTTTAAAAAGAGGGCTAAGTTCTTACGTAGAATCCTACAAATTCCTACATAGGAATTACATAGAATGTAGAAGTTCCTACATAGAATGGTGGTAGGAGTCCATTGGCCATTTAGATTTTTGTGTCCTAATTTATCCCACTGCTTCTGGATGTCAAGGTGAACAAGTTAACTACCCTTAGTCTAAAAGAAAGGAATTAATTTGTTCTTCCTTTTGAACTTTACTTGCAGATAAAATTTGAAGTACTTGGGCACACAAGAACAGTATTTGACTTTTATAGATAAGAAGTCAGTATTATGTATTAAAAATTCAGTTGTCCGAAACTTATTTTTGTTTTATCATATTGTTTAGATTTTCTTCTGGCTACATGTGGGCATTTTAGATAAAAACTGATCATTGCTGAGTAATGGCAAAGTGAACTCCCCTGTTTCCAGTGTTCCTCCTAAGCTGCTTATATTAACTTCATAGACTTGTTTTGAGAATTAGTATATACAACATGCTTGAAACAGTAGGTTGGCCCATAGTATAGTGTTAACTATATCTATGTGGATCTCAATAACTATGCACCTTAGTTAACTAGTTCAGTGCTCACAGTTTGGTGTTACTGGCCTACACCTCATCAGAAGTGAAAGACTCTAAAGGATATTGGCAAGAAAGTGGCCAAAGCATTTAGTAATAACTGAAGACATATAGAACATTATAGATATATTTCACAAGCTTACAATAATCTTGTAGCAAGTCCGATGACATTGATATATTGTGCAGTATATACTACTAGATAGAGAGTATGTAATTTCTATTCATTGACCAAATCAATAAAATTACTTAATTGATCAAAATTGTATATGACTGTGTAGTTTCCAGAAGCAGTCAACTACAAATCACAGGTTTCTCCTCTACACTTTCTGGTATACTTTTATATAAGGTCTACTTGCATTGTTATAATTTGAAACCACTTTCAGTTTCAGATACTTTAGAAAGTAATCAGTTGTCTTTGTGATATGTTGAAAGGGAAATTATATTTCCAACAAAATGAGAGAAAAATTGGAGCTTTCCCCAAAAATATATGAGGTTTATTAACTTGGCATAGATGTAACCAGCTATTATTCATTCAAGAGTGAATAAGAATTCTTTATGTGACATAGAGCATCATGGGAAAATAATGGAGTCCAAGTGGGTTTTGTGTTTTGTTGAGATCATTGATAAGTTTCTGCCTCCGGAACTGTAGGAAGTAGAGACCAGGCATTAATATGCCTGATCTTGAAAAAATGTTGGAAACTTACTTCCTATTATTTTTTAACTGTTTTAAGTCCTTACTAGTCCACACTTGAAAGCAGCCTGGGCTACACTGGAACTATGACTCCTCAAGTTTACAGAACCCTGGCAGAAGTCTTCTGAGAATCCACCCTATCCCAGATCAAGTCTTCTGTAGAGTGCATTTTTCAGTGAAAAAGCACAGGAATGTGAATAGTGACAAAGATGGAGGACGGGACTTAGCACTACCTGACCAATGCAGTCAAGGTTTCCATTACCTTTTGCAATGTGCCATTAGTTTAAAAAATGATCTAACATCATTTATTGATGTGTCTTATTACAATATTACATTGTAATAATAATAATAATAATAATATGTTGTACCAATGCTTTATATAAATGTTTGGAGTAATTAGTATGATTTTCTTTCCTTTGTCAAACTCTTCTTTCCTCTTGTACTATTTTGTTATAAAACAAGCTTTTTGTACTCTTTCCTCTTCCAAATTTTATTTCTTGGGTCTCTTATTTTCTCATCAGTTCCTGTGGTTTGTGTTTTGTGTTTTGTTGAGATCATTGATGTCTGGAACCCTACAGCTGATCCTTTTTGGTAGAGAACAAGAAAAAGCTGGATGTGCTAGTCGAGGAGTGATAATGGACACCAAGGGGAGAAGAGTGGGAAGACAGGGAGAGGAAAGGGAAATGGGGAATGTATTCATAGGAAGCCTAAGATGAAGATTTTTGGCAGAAAAGATTGGGAGGTAAATAGAATCCCTGATAATTGGGGAATCTGTTTTTAAGACCTTTATCTTTTGATGAGTAGGATGGAATTT